GTCGGCCCAAGCTTTGAAGCCTGCATCGTCCCAGCGCGGGTCGGACTTCTCAGCGGCCACCACCGCAAGTGCAGGCGGCACTTCTTCGGCCGCTTCTGCGGCGGCGGCGAAGTGATCCGCCAAGAATTTATTCAGTAGTGCCGGTGGCGGCTTTGCTGCCAGTAGTGCTGCCGCAGCGCCATCAAGCGCTCGCTTGGCTTCTGGCGAGCAGTCTGCGTCGAACTCCAATACGCCGCTTTTCGACATGGACGCGGCTCAAAAAAAGTATCAGTGTTGTGCAAAAAAAGTAACTAGGACGCGCGCTCGGGCTCTCTTGCCCGCAAACCGATCCCGATCATCCGGCCCGCTGGGTGCGCTTCTCAGCTCCTCGGCCCTGGATGTGAGGCTGATGACTGCACTCCAAGTGCTCCAAGTGCGATGCAAGGCGTGGGCGGTTGAGCATCCCTCCAGGGGGCCCTCTGCGCCGGGGAGGCATTGTTGGAGGCTAGGACGCAAGCGTCCGTCGCGCCCTTTTCAAACTCGAGGCCCACTGCTCCGCTACGCCCCGAGCGAGCGAGGTCAGATCCTTCTATCTACTCTGTTGAGAGAGAGAGAGAGAGAGATTTTTGAAAACCAACAAGAAATCTCTCTGTTGATGACAAGACTTGTCTACTGGCTGGAGCCGAGCAGGAGGGCCCGGCGCACAACCCCTGTGCAACTCAGCCTCCGCACCCCGTACCAGCGTACCACACACAGGTGTGTATTATTGTTGCTTGGGGCGGCCTTCATGCTGAAATTCTGGAAAGATCTGGCCGGGCCCTGCCCCCACCCCTACCAACCTACTACCTACCTACCCTACTTATGGGGAACTAAAAAAGAAATCATAGGATGGGTGAAGGTGGGATACAACCCCCTAGTCCTCCGGTCCACACGGGTACCCCCGTGCTAGGACAACAAGGCCCCACGGTACACGGCGTCTCCAAATTAGGCGAGTCACATGTGTGGTGATTGGGATCAAAGCGCTGACTGAGAGTCATGAATGAATGTGCGTATGTGTATGTTGTCATGTGGGAGAGCAATGTCGGCGGCTGTAAACTGTCGAAGGCGACAGAGAGAGCAAGGGGAGCGTGCCGAGATGGAATGAAATGCGAAGTTGCCTTGTTTTTGCTCCTGAGGTGCCCGCCCGAGAGATAGACCGGTTTAAGTTGAGGTTCCACGGTCTCCAGGATGGAGGTGCCGATCTGGATGTGGGGGTCCAGGCAGCGCAGGGAGGCTGTTGTGGCCCACCCAACTGTATCCATGGGAGTCACAAACGGTACTGCACTCGCGGCTGCTCACGACACTCAAACCCACCACCTGCCTCCTACTCTGTACGAGGAGCCGACAGCCGTTTCACCCGTGCAAAACACATCTACGCAAGACCAGTAGATCGTTGGGGTAGAGGTAGATTAAGACTGGAGATCCTAGCGGATCTCTCACACGGACACGCCCAAGTCTCGCCAGTAGATCCCTCCTGTCCGGTTCCCCATTCAAGACTAAAGATCGAAGATTGAGATTGTGGATTGCAGATCGCTCTGAGCAGCAACAGGGCCAAAATGTGGAGATAGGAGATGGAGAATGCAGATTGTAGATCCTAGCGCCCAGCCATCCGCCCCAGATGTGAGATCGAAGATTGAAAATGGAGGTCGTAGATTGCTGCCGGCGGCGACAGTGGCCATGAAGTAGAAGATTGGAGATTGGAGATGAGAGGTGGTCAGTGGTAATGAATCCATAGCGCATCTCCTTGAAGGTTTGAGCCCCCCTTCCTCCCCCGGGCCCCCGAATCGAGATTGGAGATTGGAGATTGGAGATGGAGATCGGAGACCTGTGTGAATCCGGCCTAAGATGACGACGTTGGAGATTGGAGATTGAAGATGGAGATCGGAGATCTGACTGGAACCCCGGCCTAAGATGACGACGCTGTGGATCAGAAAATATTGGAGATGGGGAGATCGGAGTCCACCCACCCCCTAGTGGTGTTGGTAGATGTTTTATAGATTTTTGTTTTTTCCTGTGGTCTGTGCGCGGACGGCCCGGGGAGCCTGCGGCGCCATTTTAATCTGCGCTCCTCTTTATGGCCTGCGGCGCCTGGCTTTTGAGCTTGGAAGTGTAAACGAGTCCGCCAGGGCGGTCTGCAAACGGAGCGCGCTGCGCGCGCGGTCTATGTACGCGGTCTATGTCGGCGAGCCTATTTGCCGAGTTGGCAGCGTGGACACCATGATACCGCCCCCAGTTCGGCGTAGACCGCGCGCGCCGCGCAGCGCGCTCCGTGTTTGCAGACCGCCCTGGCGGACTCGTTTACACTTCCAAGCTCAAGCCAAGGCGCCGCAGGCCATAAAGAGGAGCGCAGATTAAAATGGCGCCGCAGGCTCCCCGGCGCAACCCCGGGCCGTCCGCGCACAGACCTTTATCTAAAAACAAAACAAAAAAATCGATGAGACACCACTAGGGGCTGGGGGGCTCCGATCTCCATCTCTCCAGTACTCTCCAATCTCCAGCGTCGCGCTACATCTTAGGCCGGATCCTCATCTTAGGCCGGATTCAGTCAGATCTCCGATCTCCATCTCCAATCTCCAATCTCCAATCTCGATTCGGGGGCCCGGGGGAGGAGGGGGATTCAAACCTTCAAGGAGATGCGCTATGGACTCATTCACAATGCAAAAGGATCTCCACCCTCTTTTCGCGCCATTTTGCAATCTCCAGTCGGCCCACACGATCTCTAGGCGCCTTCGGCGCGAAGTCTCAGAATCTCCACCTCTGTCGCAAGATCTCAAGCGACTGCACGCACCAAACTCGAGATCTCAGACTCCTCTCGAGCATCTACACCGGAGAAGATTTGCCTCCACCAGTTCTTCAGTCTACTGCTGCTCTTGGCAGGAGATTTGCCACTTAAGAGATCTCTAAAAGGCATCTACGATCTACAGTCCAAGGGATCTCTTCCGATGTTGGTTGTTGCGTAGAGGGTAGAGAGATGTCCATGTATGTCCAGCGCCCGGCCCCTAGCTATTAGAGTAGTCTTGTGGGACCCAGTGGGCCTGCCCCTCCCCGGGATCCCGGCACCCCGGCCGAATTTAATTGTATCTATTTACCGAACCATGACGCATGTGAGCTACATACACGGCTCCTACAGGGTGACTCAATCCGACTCTCCATGCCCCGCGCCCGCCTCCACGTCGCTCAGCGAGAGGTCCCTCTCCAGCGCGTCTGCCTCGAGCTTCCGCAGCCTGGCGCGCTTGGCGTGCAGCAGCGGCAGAAAGTCGCTCCAGACCTCCGCCTCCTCGGCGCGCATCTGCTCGACCTTGGCCGACAGCGTCTCGTCCGCCGCCGAGAGCTCCGCCTGCAGCGCCTCGGTCCTCGCGCGCTGCGCTGCGCGCGCCGCCTCGAGCCGCTCCTTGCGCTGCAGCAGGTCGAGCAGCAGCGACGCGCCTGCCGGGGGGCGCGCGGCGAGGTGCGTGCGCGGGTGGGGAGGGGCGCTGGCGGCGGCCACGACGGCGGCGGCCGCGACGGCGGCGGCGGAGAGGCGAGGGAGGGCGAAAGCGACGGCGACGGGTCGATACGCGAGGGCGTGGGGGACGGCGGCGGGGATGGCGGTGGTGACGGCGGACCGTGGCTCACGCCGGGCGGCGCGTGCAGCTCCTCCATCCGGATGGGCTCCAGCTCCGCCGGCTGGCTGCGCTCGCTCCGCAGCAGCAGCTCCCTCCACCCCGAGTGGATCTTGTGCCGCCGGACAGTGGCCTGCAGGGGTGTGTATGTTTGTGATGCCTGTCTGCCTGTCTGCCTGCTGTCTGCGTGTGCGGCGGATACGTGCGTGCGTATTGCGCTCGCGCACCTGCAGCTCTCCCCGCCCGACAGGCAGCTCTGCCCACGCGGACACGCCGGCGGGGTCGGTCCCGAAGGTGCGCCTCCCCTCGCACCAGCGCGCGGCGAGCGTCCCTCCGCGGCCCGAGCTCCCGCGCGGCGTCAGCGTCAGCGTCAGCGTCCCGCTCGCCCGCTCGTGGCTGCCGCTCGCATGCGCGGCCGATGTCAAGGACGAGGGCTGGAGCTCGCACACCTCGACGTGGAAGGAGCCGTCGCGCAGGCGCCACTCGTCCTGCCGCCGGCGCGCAGCCTCGCACTCGTCCGCCGCCACGCAGTCGCCGGACGGTGGCAGCCGCACGAGGAGCGGATACCTCTTCAGCAGCGGCTGCGACACGAGGTAGAGGACGTCGCCGTGGCGGAGCGCGACCGGCTCGGCCGTCGCGATGGGCTCCGGACGCGAGCCGCGGCGCTGCAGGCCGGCGGGCCACAGCGCTCCCTCGCGGGAGCGCGCCCTCCACTCGCCGTCCGAGCCAAGCGCGAGCGTGAGCTGCCCGCCCTTGGCCCTGCGCGACACCTTGTTGGCGTCCGGTCCCTCCCGGTCGGCCTCGCGGAGGTCCTCCCGGCCGAGCACGAGCTCGCCGGCGGAGGCGGCGCAGGCGGGCGCCGCGTTGTCGAGGTGGACGAGCGAGAGGGCTGGGGCTGCGGCCGCCATCAAAGCCGAAAAAAGAATCGTCGCGGCCTGTGGTGCTAGCCGTGCTTTCGTTGGGCGGCGTCTGCCTCTTCCTATCTCCGTCTTGCAATATCTCGCCAATTCGCGCACGACCTTCATGCCACCTCCTGGCCACCTCGCGGTCTCTCGCTCTCGTCGTTCTCTCCCCTGCCGCTTCATCTTCTGACTCATCGCCTCGCCCGACGGTGAGAGGCCAAATGTGAAGAGGTAGCGCGGCAGAGTGGCACCGCACCGTCCTCCACAGCACCGTCCGGGGAGCTCGCCGTCGGCTTGACAGGCTCCATCGTCTGCATCGCCATGGGTCGTGCTGGTCCATGAGGTCTGTGCCAGGCCCAGTTCGTGCTCCATCATTTTTGTGATTGATTTTTTAGTCAAGTTGACTTTTTCAAAGCGCCGGACCCTTGTGCGCAGTGCGCTATGCATCGCGCGCGGGCAGCCGCCCGTCCACACCGCACTACACATCGTGGCTTCGCTTCTGCCCGACCGACGGGCGATCGGCGGCCCCGACGGGCTCGGCTCCGACGGCCGAGGGCCCGGCCGCTTCAGCAGCGGCGCGGAGGAGAAATGTGCGCACCAGAACCGGGTGTGCATCGGCGGTAGCGGCGGCTTCGGCCACATCCTCACTCACCAGCATCGTTGCCGCCGCTGCCCAGGCGCCAGCCCAGTCGTAGCCGTCTTCGTCGTCGACGTCTTCGCGTCCGGTCGAGGCGTCAAGCCAATCGCAGTAGCCGTCAGCGATGTCGACGTCGTCGTTCTCCGCCTGGATCAGTTCATCGCGGTGGTTCCACGGCCTGTCAGGAGGACTCGCCAGCTCCATAGCCTTGCGCTTGAGGCGCTGAAGCAGCAGGACGGCGGCGTGGCGCTGCGGATGACGGCTCTCGCGCGCGTGCATGCGCGCGCTGAGGAAGGCCAGCTTGACGGCTCGCGCTGTGGCACACGTCGGGAGAGTGAAGAAGGCTGCCAGGCTCGTGCATGAGAGGAGCGAGTCCACCAGAGCCTTTTGGTTTGCAAAGAATGGCAGGGCCGCTCTTTCGTCGTCGTCGCGTTTGGCGGCGAGCCTGTCCATTTCAGAGGGCAACACGCGGCAGCTCTCGCACTCCTCGCAATCATCCATGAGGTGGCGATCCCACGAGACCATCTGCATGCGACCGGCGTAGCAGCCACAGAAGAGCTTCTCGCAGCCGTTGCAATAGCCGCCGAGCGGATCGCATTCAGCGCAAAACAACTTGTTGCACGCCGGGCACGGCCCCTCCAGGTCTTCACCGCACTTGTCACATGAGGGCTTCACCGGCTTCACTGGCTTGCGGCGCGGCATCAAGCTTGCACCGTCGCTTGCTCTCTCGCCGCCGTGCTTCCGCGCACGCTCTGGAGTGGATGATTGGCGGTGTTGTTCACTTCTGAATCGCCGCGAGCTCGTAGCTGGTTTGTCGACGGCCTCGCGGCCGAGACATCAACAACATTGGCGGGTGGATTTCGCACTCCGGGCCCCCCGGGGCCCCGAACTGCCGGTGGCACGGCTGGATTCGGGACAAGGGCTGGGTGGGGTATTGAGCGCAAATCAAATCAAGAGGAGGGAGTGCGTGTCTGACGTACGAACGCACCGGGAACCAACAACGGTGTCGCAGGAGCTGCGCAGGAGCGCGCTCCCTGTACTCGGCGCGCTGCGCTGTCACTGTGTCACACTGCTCCGGTACTCGATCGGGTGTTCTTAGCTCTCCGCGACGCGGAGCGCGCGCATCGCGCCCTTCAGCTCCGCCACCTGGTCGAGCGCGTCGCCGAGCAGCCCCTTGGCCACGCCAAAGTCGCGCAGCTGCTCCACGCCGCCGCTCGCCCGCACCTCGGCGGCGTGGTCGGCCACGAAGCGGCGGCACTGCGCGAGGAGCCGCCCGTCGCCCATCGTGTGCGCCGCCTCGAGCAGCGGCACGGCTGTCGCCGGCGCGACGCTCTCCTGCAGCGCCTGCGCGCATAGCAGCTCGAGGCGCGGCACCTGGTACATCTGCGCCAGCTCACGCAGGTCGAGCGCGCGCTGCGCCCTGCCCTCCTCCTCGCCGAGGTCGAACTGGTCGGTGAGGAGGTAGTCGACGAGGGCGGTGAAGCTGGCGAGGTCGGTGTGGGACACCGTGACCTCGGCGGCGTCGCGCTCCTTCATGCCGATGCCAAACATGGTCAGGAAGACCGGGCGCAGAGGACGCACTTGCTCACGTGCTCGATGCGCTCCTCGTCGTCGCCGACCAGGAAGGTGACTTTCCCCTCTGGGAGGGTGGCGTCGCCCCGCGTCTTTGCGAGGTCAGCCAGGATGGTGGAGGGCGGAACGACGATCGGGGCAAAGGAGGGAGGCGGAGGAGGCGCCGCCACGCAGACCTGGCGGAGGCCACCGTCCGAACTGACCAACAGCGTGCTGCCGTCGGCGCTGATGGCGACTTCTTCTAGGCAGTCGAACCCCGCCGCGTCGCCCCCGCCGTCAGCGCTGCCCTCTGTGCCACTGCCCGCGATCGTCGTCACCTCTCCCGTCGCCACCTCCACCCGCCGGATCTTGCGGTTGCTGAAGTCCGCCACAAACAGCGCGCCGCCGTCTGGGCTGATGGCGATGCCACCTGGGTAGAAGAATTGTGCCGCGTCGCCCACGCCATCGGCGCTTCCCATGCCGCTGCCCGCGATCGTTGTCACAGCGCCCGTCGCCACCTCAACCCGCCGGATCTTGTGGTTCTCATCGTCTGCCACAAACAGCACGCCGCCATCCGGGCTGAGGGCAAGGCCACGTGGGCCGCAGAACTCCGCCGCGTCGCCCACGCCGTCCGTGTCGCAAAACTCGCCACTGCCCGCGAGCGTGGTCACCGCGCCAGTCGCCACCTCCACCCGCCGGATCTTGTTGTTGCCGCAATCCGCCACATACAGCGCGCCGCCGTCTTGGCTAATGGCAAGGCCGCGTGGGCCGCAGAACTCCGCCGCGTCACCAACGCCATCGGCGCCGCCTTCTTCGCCGCTGCCCGCGAGCGTCGTCACAGCGCCAGTCGCAACCTCCACCCGCCAGATCTTGTTGTTGTTCCAGTCCGCCACAAACAGCGCGCTCGCGTCCGGGCTGGCAGCGACGGTGTAGGAGTCTCCTGCCGGCAAGGCTGCCACGCGGCGCACGCGCCCGGCCGCCGAGACCTGCAGCAGCGAGTCCTCGGTCGCGACGTACCAGGCGCCCGCGTGATCGCTCGCAATGCCAACCTGACCGAGCGATAGAGGGCCGTCCTCGCCCTCGAGCGCCAGCGTGGAGACCTTTCCGACGACGCGCGCGCCAAAGATGGGCGCCTCGAAGCCATCCGCGATCGGGCACGGCCACAAACTCGCCGCCGCCGCTGGTGCGGGCGCGCTTGCGGGCGGCGGACGTCATCTGCACACGTGAGAAAATGAGAAAAAGAATTCTTAAGAACAAGCCTATCTCACAGCACACTGGCACGACAAGGGCGCAGACTGGCGCGGACTGGCACACACACAGGCTCACCGCGCGGCGGTTATTCACGAGGCGACCCCAGGGAACCGTGGGGTCACATCTCACTAATACAGTAAGCATGAATGCTGAGTCTACATACACAAGCATGCTCTAGACCTATGGCGATCCTCCTCCCTACCAGTCGTTTCCGTATCGACCTCAATGACGCCCCCACACTGCGCCGCCGCCGCCTCCACCGATTGTGCGCTCCCTGGATTGCCACCCAAGTTAATATGTGTGCACGACGGCAGTGCTCCGTTTCGGATGGACGAGGCGAGCGCCGTCATCCCGGCCTTGCAGATCCGGTTGTCCATGAGAAGCAGCATCTTCAGCTGAGGCATCGCGCCCGCCTCGAGGAGCGACGCCAAGGCCGTGGCAGTCTCGTCGCCCAGCTGGTTGTTGCTGAGAAAAAGCAACTGCAGCTTTTTCAGCCCGCCACGCGTGTGGGCCGCGCGAAGCGCCTGGACAAGAACGGCCCCCTTCGCGTCGTTCCACTTCAGCTTCTCAAAGGACAGGCAAGTTGCCTCTCCCGCAGCCCCGCCGCTCCGCAGCTGCTCCACCTGGCGCGGCGCCAGCGCCTCCTGCACCGGCACCGCACTTCCCGGATTGTCATGGAGGTAGATCTCCTGGGACGACGGCAACGCTCCGTTTCGGATGGCGGAGGCGATTGCCGCCATCCCTCCCTTGCCAATGTGATTGGAGTATAAAGCCAGCACTTTCAGCTGAGGCATCGCGCCCGCCTCGAGCAGCGACGCCAACGCCGTGGCCGTCTCGTCGCCCAGCTGGTTGTCTGTGAGCACGAGCTCGCCCAGCTCGGCCAGCGCGCCCCGCTCGTGGGCCGCGCGGAGCGCACCGATGAAGGCGAACCACTCTGGGCCACTCCAACTCATTCTCACGAAGGACAGTTTGTCCCCCTCTCCTGCTCGAAACGATCTGCCCCTCTGCAGATCCTGCTCGAAGGTCAACGGGACCGCGCATCCCGGATTGCCATGAACGCGAATGCTCGGTGGATGCCCTCCCCCCGCAGCCACGCCACGGATGGCGGAGGCGAGCGCCGCCATCCCGGCGTCGCCGATCTGATTGTTGGTGAGTGTCAGCACCTGCAGCTTTGGCATCGCGCCGGCCTCGAAGGCAGAGGTGAGCACTGCCATCCCGGGATCTGCAATCTGGTTGTTGGAGAGGTCCAGCTGCTTCAGCTCTGGCATCGCGCCGGCCTCGAGCAGCGACGCCAAAGCCGTGGCGGTCTCGTTTCCTAGCTTGTTGTCGCCGAGCGCGAGCTCCTTCAGCTGCTTGAGTCCGCCTCGCTCGTGAGCCGCGCGGAGCGCCCCGACCAGGTTAGGAGCGAAATTTTCCGCGGAAATCACGATGTCAACCCTCCCCAAATGGGTGATCTGATGCTTGTAGGGCTTGAGAGTGGCCTGCCATGCATGTCACAAGAAAGAAGGACTGTGGTTGCAGGAGAGTCCAATATGCAATAAACCACCACTCTAGTTGGTATAGTACCCCACCTTCACTCATCGAGTGATTTCTTTTTTAGTTTCCCATAAGTAAGGTAGGCAGGTAGGTAGGTTCGTAGGTAGGTAGGGGCAGGGAAGAGGCCGGGTTTTTGCAGATTTTCAGCATCCGGGCGGCCGGCCAAGCAAGAAGAACACATATGCCGATATGATACGTCCGTCCCCCCCACGAAGGCCGGCTCCTAATGTACCTCCGCTTTTGGGTGGCGGTCGCGCGCTGCCGACGGCGCTCGCCGGCGCTACGGCGCTCGCGGCGCGCTCGTGGCGTTCAGGGCGGCTCGCACACGCACACACACACACACACACACACACACACACACACACACACACACACACACACATGCACAGACACACAGCCCCTTCCCCTCCCCCCTCAAGGGCGAGGACACGCACAGGCCGCACCTCTAGTGAGGCCCGCATAGTATGTGGGAGACTCGTGCCGCCGCCCCTGCCACCCCTGTGTCAGTGTGCCTGTGGTACGAGAGACTGCCAGCGACAAGCTGGAGGCAGGTCGCTAGACTGAGATGAGACCGCCAGTGGATGTGGGAGTCCACCGCGCACCGCGCTGCGAGTCTATCGTGTCCCTTGTCAGGAGCAGGAGAGCCCCACCTGTCCCCCTGATCGTTCTTCCAAAATCCTGCTCGTGCAGGTGTGGACCCTGTCCTCGTCCCATCCCTCGTTTGGCGTGTCTGTTTTCTTTCTTTCTTTTCCCCCCCCCCACGAAGGTCTAGGTGTATTGTTGGCGAAGGCTGGATTCGGGTCCAGGGCTGGGTGAGGTATGAAAGGGTGCAAGACCGACAAGAACAAACTTCTTTAAATCTCTCTCGAACCGAGGAAGAAAGAAAGAAAGAAAACACGGGGGCGGCGGGCGCGCCTCGCAGCGAGAGAGCACCTTCGTGTATCGCGCGCCTTACTCCGGAGCAGCTGCCATGCGCTCCTCCAGCCAGCCCACGCAGCCCGCGCCGGCGCTTTTGGCAGCCATGCTGGTCTTCACCGCAGCAAATGCGATCATCTCCTTCTCGGCCTTCTGGGCGTCGCGGAACACCGTCGCTGAGCCGCCTGCCGCTGGCACCGGCACCAGTACAGCTTCCACGGCGGCGGCCCGGAGCCTCTGGGAGGCGTACGACGCACACCTGGCCGAGGCAAAGTATGTGGATCTCACGCACGCGATCGAGCCTGGCATGCCGCTGTGGGACGGCTTTTCCCAGCCCAAGTTTGGCGCTGCCGTCGCAAGAGTCGCCACACCAGGCTTCATCGCCGAGGGCGCAACGTACGGCTACGCTGCGCAAGGCTTCGTCGCCGGCGCGGTCTCGCTCGCGACTGACCAGATCGGCACGCAGCTCGACCCGCCGGCGAGTAGCCTGGAGTCACACGCGGTGGGCGTCGCCTAGCTCACGGCTTGTGCTGTCAGTAGGCGCACTGGAATGAGCTCGGCGCCACAATCTCCGATCTTCCCCCGACGGTGACGCTCCGCCCGCTCGTCGTGGTCGACATCTCGCGCAAGGTGGCCGCGGAGCCGGGCTACACGGCGAGCGTCGCCGACGTGCTCGCGTGGGAGGCGGAGCACGGGCGGGTCCCGGCAGGAGCAGCGGTGCTCTTCCGCTCGGACTGGTCGCGGCGGTGGGGCGAGTACCTCGTCGAGGGGAAGATGCCGGCCGTCTTCCCCGGGGTCGGGCTGCCGGCGCTCCAGTTCCTGCACCAGAACCGCTCCATCCTGCTGCACGGGCACGAGCCGCTTGACACGGACTCGACGCCGACGCTCGAGGGGGAGGCGTGGCTGATGCACCACAACTACCTGCAGGTCGAGGGCGCCGCCAACCTGCACCTCGTCCCGCCCGCCGGCGCCCTCCTCTCCATCGGATTCGCAAAGATCAAGGGCGGCGCCGGCGGGCTCGCGCGCCTCGTCGCCGTCTGCCCGCCCGCGTGGCCCTTTGGGGTCAGCGTGCGCGAGGCGCCCGCCGCGCCGCTGCCGCAGCAGCCGGCGCCCCTCCGCAGAAGCGCCGACGGGGTGCTGCGTCCGCGGCCCGGGGCGGCGCCGACAGAGTACTGCGGCGCCGGAGGCGCGCCGCTGGGCTGCCCACTCCCGGGGTAATAAGATAGTACATACAAATCGCTGTCCAGGAGCAGGGCCGCTGCACGCCCTGCACACAGCACACAGATATTAGGAGGCTTGTTCCTCCGTCGCGTGACCCGAGATGATTGTGCGCGTCGCCCGTCGGCCCCACGCCGCCACGCGGCGGCGCCGGATTTTTTTGGCACGCACGCTGGCTGTGCCGCGCGCGCACACACATCGCACACACCGTAAAATAAAAACAACAGCGACGCGTGGAGACACAAAGCAGGGCAGAGCTGTGCGAGACAACACGGACGCCGCAATACCCACACCCAGCCCTTTGCCCGGCCAGGCGGCCACGGCCACAGCGAGGGGGTGGACGCCAAGTGCGTGACGACACACGAAGTGCGGACGCCCCGCCGGCGCGGCTTTGCGGCGCGTCGGCGCTAGTTTGCGCGGCCGCCGTTCGCGTTCGCGAAGAAGGAGTACGCGAAGACGAGGGTGAAGAAGAGGGAGGTGTTTGTGAAGAAGAGGAGCGCGCCGCCCACCCACAGCGCGGTGCGGCCCCACTGGCGGGCCTGGTCGGCGGCGACCGCCCAGTCGGCAAAGAGGTTCAGCACGAGGTCGCCGCGCTGCCTGCCCGCCTCGGGGCGGGAGAGAGGCATCCCCTCGCCAGACACCTTGACGGACAGCCGGCGCGGAGGCAGCCGCACCCTCAGCGTGCGCGAGTCGAGCGTGCGCACCTTTGTGCGACGAGATGGACGACTCAATACTCAGTCTTATCGCGGGTGCAGTCCTCTGCTCTTATCGCGGGTGCAGTCCTCTGCTCTTATCGCGGGTGCAGTCCTCTAGTCTTATCGCGGGTGCAGTCCTCTAGTCTTATCGCGGGTGCAGTCCTCTGCTCTTATCGCGGGTGCAGTCCTCTAGTCTTATCGCGGGTGCAGTCCTCTAGTCTTATCGCGGGTGCAGTCCTCTAGTATTGTCGCGGGTGCAGTCCTCTGCTCTTATCGCGGGTGCAGTCCTCTAGTCTTATCGCGGGTGCAGTCCTCTGCTCTTATCGCGGGTGCAGTCCTCTAGGCGAGCGTGCGCACCTCATGCGACGAGCCCCGCACCAAGAGGTCCAGCAGGCCGCAAAACGCGACGGCGGCGAGGTCGTGCCCGCGCCGCGAGAAGCGCGGGTGCTCCTCCTGCGCCAGCTGGAAGCAGACGCCCGCCTCCTCGAAGGTGATGCGAGTGCCTTCCTTCCAGCCCGGCTTGACGTCAACCACAAACGAGCGCCCCTCGTGGCTCGCAGACTTTCGCGCGCCGCTGTACAGCTCCTCGAGCGAGCAGCGGATCGGACGCACGACGGCGACGGGCGCGCGCCGGGCGCCCCCGCCGCGCCCGCCGCCCCCGCCGCGCCCTCCCCGCCCTCCCCTCCCTCCGCGGCCCCGGCCACCCATCTGTCCGCCAAACAGGCCCTGCAGCATCTCGTTGAGGTCTCCGCCGGCCATGCCGCCTCCTGCAGGGGCGAAGGGCGAGAGGGCGAGGGGGGCGGGGCTGAGCAGAGCCTGCTGCCGCAGGGCGCAGGGAGCGCGGCGCGAGGGAGACGCTGGGAGCGCCGGCTGCCGGCGCCTCCCATGCCCGGCCCAAACCCGAAGCGCACGCCGGGGCCGCCCATGCCGCCGCCCGCCATCTGGCCAAACATCTGCGCAAACAGCTCGTTCGGGTCGATGCCGTGCATTCCCGCGCCGCCAAAGCCCGCCGACGGCCCGCCGCCGCCGCCGCCGCGCTTTAGTCCAGCCTCGCCGTACCGGTCGTAGATCTCCTTCTTGTTTGAGTCGGAGAGCGCCTCGTACGCCTCAGCCACCTCCTTGAACCGCCGCTCCGCCTCCTGGTCCCCGGGGTTCTTGTCTGGGTGCCACTTCATGGCCATCTTGCGATCTGTGCGCGGGCGGTCGGCACGGCGTTTGCGACGGGCGGAGCGTGGCGTTGGGAGGCAGAGCGCGCGGCGGCGCACATCCCTTCTTGATCTCCTCCGGCGTCGCGCTCTTCGAGACGCCGAGCGTCTCGTAGTAACCCATGGCGCCACCCTTACTCCGGGTTTCGCGACCGGGTTGAGGCGTAAAAGCGAAAAGAATTTTACAACAAAACTCCCTCGCACGACACTGGGCCCAGTGTCGAGCGAAAAGAATTTAAACAACACAACTCTCTCTCACAGCACACAGGCTCGACAGCGAAAAGAAACAGCTTGTGCATCCGTGTATACACGGGCAGGCCGAGTCACACAGTCCACCTGTGTGATGCACGCCCTGTGAGCGGGGCGGGGTGCGCACTGTACCTCTGTGTTCGTGCGTTGCCCATCTCTACGGGAGATGACTGCTCTATTTATTTATTACGGGCAGGCCGAGAGTTCTTTTTGGAGATCAGACCTTTCGGTGGTTCATGCTTTCAAGGTATCTATCATGCTTCATGACACGACACGCGGTGGTGGGAGCTGGTGGAGCTGTCAGCTGATCGCGTCGGGCCGAAGCCCGTCAGGCAGCACTCTCTCCCTAAACCCTAGCCTTCTCCCGAACCCTAGTGTGTGTTGGTTACCTCAGTGCTTTCACACCCCTCGCCCCGTCGTGTCCGTCCCCATTGTGATTGCGGACGTCCCCGACTACGTCGTCTCTAGAGAACGTATACAACCCCCTTCTGGTGTCGACCGCGCCCCTCGCGGGGGGGCACGGCCGAACGTGAACTGCTGACAGGGTTTACAACAAAAGGCGGTCACACACACACACACACACACACACACACACACACACACACGGTAGGTAGGTAGGTAGAAAGGTGAAGAACAGCCAGGCTCGGACTGGACACACACGGTCACATGTATGTATGTAGAAAGATGACTGAGCCCTGGCTGTCAGGCTGTCAGGTGCTGTCAGGTGATCTGTCGGGCTGTCGGGCACTGTCAGGCACTGTCAGGTGCCTCTGTCAGACCAGCTGTCAGGTGCTGTCAGTGCTGTCAGGTGCTGTCGGGTGCGTGTCTGACAGGCGAGGTGATCTGTAGCTGTCGGGTGCTGTCGGAGCTGTCGGGTGTTGCTGTCAGACGCTGTCGGAGCTGTCAGAGCTGTCAGGCTGCTGCTGCTGTCAGACGTTGGGCTGTTGCTGTCAGGTGCTGTCAGGTGGTGCTGTCGGGGTGCTGCCAGGCTCTGACACACATCAGCCACACTTATGACACTATCAAGAGGGCGCTGACTATCAAGGGGGTGCTGACGCCGATGACGCCGGCGGCTACGCAGCTACCCCCCCCTCCTACACTGGCCAGATGGCGGCGCAGAGGCACAGGCGGCGGCGGCGGCACAGACGGCGGCGGCCACCCCCACCCAGACGCCGTAGGCATATGACTGTAGGGCCCCAGAAGGCTAGCTGGTAGCTTCATTTGTAGTAGCACAGCCGCCGGTGCTGGAGAGGGGTCCGCAGAGGTGGGGCGGGAGGGTTGAAAGAGAGACCCATGACCATCCCATGACTACATGGACCACACTCACATGTCTTTGCATGTAATTTTGTTATACCCTCATGGGGCGCAAGAAAGAGGCTCTACGGGGTCTGTGTACGGTCTGTGCTGCTGTCAGGCTGTCAGCGCTGCTGTCAGGCCACTGTGTGCTGTCGGGCTGTCAGGCAGCTGTCAGGCTGTCACGTTAGGGCCTGACAGCGACGGGTCACCTCGCCTGTCAGGCTCTGCTGTCAGGCTGTCAGATATGTGCTGTCAGACTGTCAGAGAAAGTGCTGTCAGCGCTGTCAGGCTGTCGGGCACTGTCAGGCGCTGTCCGGGGTTTGCTGTCAGTCTGTCAGACCAGGGCTCAGAAAGATGAACAACAGTCAGGCTCGGACTGGACACCAACGCGGTATGGGTGGACGCGGGACAGATGATGACGACACGCACGAGCGACACACAGACACAAACAGGCTCACAAGACACACAGCCAGCTGGCTGCCACACACCCTGAGTTGGCGTACACATAACTCAGGGCCACATTCTCCCTGTCGCCCCCCCCCAGCCAGCACTCCCAGGTGCCAAGAGAACAAACAAGGGCACAACAAACAACAGACAACAGGGGCGAACGCGTGAGGCTAGAGCAGGCTTGCTCGGCCTCTAGCAATCTCCGCCGACCGCGAGGCCGGACTAGACCTAGTGGGGGGTAGAGGCTGGCGAGTAGAGGCCCCGCCCACCCAGGGTACCCCTCTCGAGGGACCCATTGGGCTCTTTCGAGGGCTCGCCGGGGCTCTGCTCCAAGAGACCTCGAGAGAGCGTGCGTGTGCCTCTACTCGCCAGGGGTAGAGGTGTCTCACGACACGAAAAAACAAAAAGCGCCTAGCAAGCGGGCGCTGGCGCCACCGCTTGCCGACCATACTCGTTGGCTACACGCTGTCCACCGCGTAACACAGGCATGTTGGTCGCTCTACGCCGAGCCCTCCTCGCGGCCATCCTGGCGGCGGTCGTCGCCGCGGAGGAGGTGCAGACCCTGACGGACGCATCGTTCCAGTCCTCGGTGCAGGGCTCGCCCTCCCTCTGGCTGGTCAAGTTCTACGCGCCGTGGTGTGGCCATTGCAAGAAGCTTGCGCCAGTCCTCGGTGTGTGCAAGACGCCCAGCGTCTCCTCCTCGCCCTCCGCCCCACATGTCGCTGCGAGGCCCTCTCCCTCGCCACCAGCTCGCGCACGGGACGAGAGAGAGCCTCGCTGCACTCACTTCCCCTCCCGCCGCCACGCACAGAAAAGTTTGCCGCCGACATCAAGCCCACGGAGCTCGGCGAGGGTGTGCGGATCGGCAAGGTGGACTGCACCGAGCACTCCTCGCTCTGCGACGGCCAAGGCGTCAAGGGCTACCCCACCGTCCTCCTCTTCCGCGACGGCGCCCGCTGGGAGATGAAGGCGCCGCGTACAGCCGACGGGCTGCGCGAGACGATCCGCAAGCTCAAGTCCGCGCCGGTGACGCAGCTGGGAGAGGGCGGACAGGCGGCGCTCGACAAGCTCCTCGAGCCCGATGGCGCCGTCGTTTTTGCGCTCGCCGGCACGCCGCCCTATCCCAGTCCACACGCCGCAAAGCACAAGCACGCACCGTCACCGCGCCTCTCCCTCTGACGCACCGCCGACGCACCGCCGACGCACCGCCGACGCACCGCCGACGCACCGCGCAGGGGCGGGTGCGGCGGACCCGCTGGCGGCCGAGTTTGAGGCTGCGGCGGCGGAGCTGCAGCTCGTCTCCACCTTCGCCGCCGCGGCCGGTCCCGACCTTCCCTCGCAGCTGGCGCCGCACCGGGGCTCGGTCGTCAAGCTGTCTCGCGGCGGGCCCTGAGCAGAGAGAGGAGAGAGTCGGAGCCCTGGGCAGCACCGCCGCACTGCAACTCCTCTCGGCCCAACCTTGTGCTCACCTACCAGCCTGCAGCCGCCGTGAACCTCGACGCACCGCACCCGGTCGCTCGCACAGCAGAGAGCTCCCGCCGCCCCACCCCGCCCACCCGGCGGCCGACACCCGCGCCGGGCGCGACGTACCTGGCGCCCGCCCGCCCGCAGGCGAGCCTTCCGCCGTCTTTGCGCCTCCGAGCGACGGGGCGCTGCCCGCCACGCTGCGCGCCTGGCTCGAGGCGGAGCGGTTCCCCGCCCTGTCCGTCGTCGAGCGGCACAACTTCTTCGGCATGCTCTCCAAGGACGAGCACCTCCCCGCCCTCTGCATCTCCCCTCACCGCACCCCACCACGCACCACGCACCACGCACCGCAGGACATCTCCCTCGCGCTGGCAGTGGTCGACCCGGACCCGGCCTGCGCCTCCGCCTCCGACGATGCAAAGGCGCCGCCCTCGCCGCCGCTTCCCCCGCCGGACCCTCTCGCCCCCCCCCCCCCTCTCCTCGCCGCCACTTTCCCTCGCACACGCATGCCTCACCGCCGCCTCCCCTCCCCGCGCCCAAGGAGCCGCCGGCGTGCGAGGCCGAGGTGACGGTGCAAGGGCCGCACGGCAGCGAGGGGCTCGGCGCGGCGCTGCGCGACATCGCCTACTCGCGGCCGCCCCTCGACGAGACGGGCGGCAACGCGTACCGCTTCGGCCTGCTGGACGGGCTGCGCTGGGGCAAGTTTCTGACAGAGGTGCCTACAGTACCCCCTCCGAGCCCCCCTCCGAGAGAGACGCCTCCCCGAGAGAGACGCCTCCCGGTCACTCACGGAGGTCGCCGCCCGCTCGCGGCCCTCTGCGCGCGGGTCGGACTGAAGCACGCACGTGGCCGTGCCACACACACGCACAGGTGGTCGGCATCGAGCGCAGCGAGCTGCCGCTGGTGCTGCTGCTGCGGGGCGGCTCCACGCGCTCCTTCCTGGTCGGGCGGGGGCCGCACGACGAGGCGACTGTGCGGCGGCTGCTGCGCGAGGGCGGAAACTCCGCCGCCCTCCGCTTCGAGTACACCGGCATGTGGGGCCTCCCCGCGCGGCTGTGGAGGCGGCTCGGCGACGCGCTGCCCTTCCTGCCGCTGCACCTGCTCGACTTTTTGCCGTGCGCGGCCCGTCCGAGACGCGTCCTCGCCCCTCGCCCGCCACGCACCCCCTCCCCGCGAACCGCCACGCCCCTCGACACACGCACCACGGCACGTCCACAACGTGGCTCACACCTCGACGCGTCTTCCCCCAGGCCCTACTCGCTGGCCGCGCTCGCTGTCTTGCTCGGGTTTGGCGCACTGATCGTGCTGATTGGGAGCGTGCCGCTGCCCGATGATGCGGCGGAGGGCGGGGAGGATTCGAAGAAGGAGGACTAGCGGCGGCGCGTTCTATGTCTCCTCTCGTTTGCGCGATGGCGGGGGCGGGGAGAGTAGAGTAGAGAGGGGGAGGGAGGCTGCGGAGCGTGGAGGAGTTTTGCGGCGTGTAGTATTGCGTGGATGCGCAGACGAGAAGCGTGCGCAGGGGCAGGGGGCGACGCTCGGAGCCGCTAGGGACGAGCGATGGCTGGTAGCGCTCACTCGGCCAAGTGTTAAGGTTCCTCGGGCCAGTTCCGGGGGCAAACTATGCCCGGCCCCTAGAACAAAAAATATCGGGCCCGGGACGCCTTCAGCTGGCGAGGCGCGGTTGAGCACTTTGGAGCGACTCGGAGGTTGAGCACAAGGCGAGCCTTGGCCGACCTCGGCGGCGCCGATCTGATGCTGGCTGCGCCACGGGCGACGGTGCGGCTGCTGCTGCCGCTGCTGCTGCTAGCGGGCGGCTGTGTGCAGTACTGCACAGCAGTGTCCGCAGGTCCGCGACCCTGTCGCCAAGGCGCTAGTTGCAGTAGGTGCTTCTCTGACTCGCGTTTTCTTGTGTAGGCTTCTCAAAGTCGCAGTATGACGACAGCGAGAAGGCGACGGTGTCATGGACAATCGACGCGCCGACAAACCGCGTGTACGTGGATCACATCCTCGGCGACAACGCCGACAATCGGTTTCAGATCTGGGAGCAGGACAATGTTCCGCAGCCGACTCAAGGCGATCCCTTCGAGATCGACGTGGACGGGGGTGGCACCGCAAACCTCTACCTCTTCAAGCTCGCCGCGCTGAATACCGGTGATTCGTGCTACCAGTGCCTGCAAGCTGCTTCTGCGGCCCGTGAGTGCCTGCCTGATACTCGATGCCAAGATAAGGCGTTCGACACAGGTAGCATGGCAATCAGCGAGAAGGCGCCCAACCAAGTGGATGATCTCGTCGACGGGAGCGATGAAGACCTCGACGGCCGGCGGATTGAGCTCGAGTTTACCATACCGCTGTCCAAAGGCTTGCCCATCACCAGCCTGGTGGTCCGGCGAGAGGCAGTGGGCGGCGCATCGGACGGCGTGATCGTGGACTACCGGATTGGGTGTGCCGCAGACATAGCAGACAACGAATGTGACCTCGTCACTCCGAATGGTGATTGCAACGATGCAGCAGCCGATCGGAATCTTGGACGCACCGAATGCGTCCGCCCATCGTCTGTTGAGATTGGATACGTTGTGGAGAAGTACGTCGAGGACAGTGCCACTGGCGTCAAGAGGGCAAGAGGCGAAATCTTCAGCGTCCTGCTAGGTTCATGGGAGAACGTTGACGCCAAGTACATCACGCCGACGCAAGAGTACAAATTTAGCGTGCTCGCCATCAACGACAAGGTGGACTACACGCCCGGAAACCCAGGCGACTGCCTCGTTGGCACCCAAACCTGCCAGGCGGCTGGGTTGTGGAGCGACCCGGTTACAAGGGCGCCGAAGCAGGCCACCCCCGACAAGCCGGGAATTCCGACGGCTTCGGTCAGCGACACCGCGCTTACCCTCCAGTGGGGTGTGCCCAATAACAACGGCAACACGATCACGGGGTACAGGGTCACGTGCGAGGACCGATCGACCTACACTAGGTCGGATTGGAGCAGGACGCCCCCGCCCTTCTACCTTGGAGCACTTCCGAGCGCTCCAAGCGCACCTACCCTGGAATTGATGCCAGCTACGATCACGAGTGGCACTCAGTCTATCGTCATCGATGTCAGCAACAGTGCAACCACGAGCGGCATTCAACTGGCGCCAGGCACAAAGTATCGGTGCCGGGTCGTGCCATACAACAATTTCGCAGTCAACAACGTCCTGCAGGGCGGCCTTACCGCCCCCGCCTTCTACTCGGAGTGGAGCACTGAGTTGGCCACTCGCGCAAAGGCGCCCGAGGCGGTCAGTGAAGTTGAAACATGCACGGCCGTTCCGCAGGCGACAACTGATATGGACGGGATGACATTGCCGAGCGTCAACTCGCCGAACCAGCAGTTGCAATACACCATCGCATGGACGCCCCCGAGGCCAAACGATGACATTGCCGACTCGCCGGGACTTTGGCGCTACTTCTTGACCGGGACAGGGACCGGCGTGGTACCCTCTTCTGGCGCGGTGGCGGCAAGCCGCCAAACGGGCTCCGGCGACGACATGAAGCAGGAGTACGACTTCGCCGGCCTAACCTACAACGAGCAGTACAACCTCTGCGTCGAGTCGGCTGGGCAGGGTTGCGACAGCGGTAGCTCGTCGGAGTGTCTTCGGTCGAACGCAAAGCGGTGTTTCACCTGCCCGCTTCAACCCTTCAACCCCGGACCGCCTGAAGTGGACCTTTTCGATCTTACTCCGGGCGGCGACGGCAGTGCGACCTCGCTCAAGATCAGGTTCAAGGCGCCCACTGAGCTGTACGGCTCCACCGTCACCCACTACTCCTTCTCCATGTGCGAGGGCGCTTCTTGCGATGAGTTTAGCTGGGCGAACCGGAGGCGCTACATGTGCGGCTCAAACTCGGTCAAGAAGTTCAGCGATAACCGCGATAACTGCGCCCCAGCCGACCTGACGACTATAGTGAAGGACGGTGACACGTGGTTCGAGTTCAGCATCGCAAAGTTCGGCACCAGCAAGACTGCCAACAAGAATGTCGAGTCTGGCAAGACGTATCGGATTAGTGTGCGGGCCGAGGACAGCACCAATCTTCGGATCGGCTTCCGCTCCGACACGATCGCAGGCAAAACGGCGCCGGTGCCAACGCTGCTCTCAGAAGACGTGACCAGCAACGCTCGCGACATCACGGTGCAGTGGGACAAGTACACCTATGACGGGGGCGATAGCTACGCAGACGAGTTCGACGTCTACTTATGCAGCGGGGCGACGTGCTCGAGCTCTGGCTCGTCAATTGCCAGCGCAACCCTCAGAAGCAGCAGTGTTGGCGGCGACTGCGCAAGCGATGGCGGAATCGACGACCCTGGGACCACAGGCTGCAGCTACACGTTCAGTGGCCTCACGCCCGCTGTGCCGTACTCCGTTGTGATTGTCGGCAAGGTGACCGTTGCAGTGAACGGCGTTGCCGGTCAGACCTCGGGCGACTCTGCCACAATTGATATCCAGACGGCAACGGACAAGCCCGAGCAGCTTCTTGCGCCCTTACTCGGGCTGCGAGAGACACGGAGCATGCAAATCAGCTGGAGCGACCCTGACGTGTCATCACGCACGCCTGAGGGAGAGTGGCTGAACGGCAACGCATTTCAAAACTACAAAGTCGAGTACTGCGAGTGCACCGACGACAGCGACTGCAACTCCAATGATCCTTGCGGCTCGACCACGCCGCTCTCAAAAACAATTGAAACAGAATCAACCAAAACGACGACGGTTTCCGGTCTGACGCCCGCGCAAAAGTACGTCTTCCGCGTGATTGCCAACAACGGGCAAGACTCTGAGCCGTCGGAGTGGAAATTGGCAGCACGCGCCGACTGCACCGAGGCGCCAGACCAGGTGACGGGCGTCGCGAATGTCAACGCCGTCACCACCTCTCGCGCGATCGCACTCACGTGGAACAAGCCGGACACGAACGGCGTGGACATCGAAAGGTACCTTGTCGAGTGGACGACCTCGGCGCCCAGCGGTGCTGCCTCGCAAGTCACCACCGATGCCACCGAGTCCATCACGATCGAGCCCCTCATCCCCGGCTACGACTACAGCTTCACCGTCAAGGCGTACAACGGCGTGAAGCGTGATGAAGGAGATGCGTGCGGGACGGGCGGCGGCGATGGCTACGGTCCCAAGAGCGACCCGAAGAGCGTCGCCACTCTAGACGAAGTGCCTGACCAGCCGTACGCGCCAACAGTCCCCGACGACGGCCGCCTCACGCGCAGCGTTGTGCTGAAGAGATTCTCAGTCAACGGCAACGACAACATACGGAACAAGGAGGTAAGCGGGTATCGCTACTGCGCGACGACAACGGGGTCGGGGTCGTGCCCCGATGACACCACCTCGTGGCCGTCTGTCTCCGGAATCACCGGCAACACCAACGACGGCAGCACCTTCCGCGTCAGTGGTCTGGATCCTGCGACGGACTACACCTTCCGCGTGGTTGCTGTGAACGATGAGGGGGACTCGTCGCCGTCAGACCCAGTCGACGTTGTACGCTCTTTCTCGGACGACACTTTTGATGATTGCCGGGAGCAACCCGATACGATGCTTGCACCCCTCCTCGACACCTCGAAAGAGCAAGACGGGCGAACCACGTCGTCAATCTGGCTCAAATGGACGCGACCCGCTTCCAATGGCGAGCCGGTCACCCAGTACCGAGTCTCGTGGACCGTCGAGACTCGCGCAGGTGGGGTCGGTGTGCCAGGCAGCGAGACTCTGTCAGCCCCGGACGAAGCAGAGGTATCACGCGAGATCGACGGGCTGCAGCCCGGGAACATTTACACCTTCACGGTCGAGGCGTCCAATTCCGTACGTCGCGGCGTCGATGCAGCGTGCGGGAGCACTGGCTCTGATGGATGGAGCATCCCATCTCCGACTAGCTCGCAGTTGAGCACCCTCCCCATCAAGCCGGTGGCGCCAGGCGCCCCAACCCTGATCGCCAGCGGAGGCACGTCCCTCACGATCCAGTGGTTGGCACCCTTCGACAACGGAGATGACATCTTTGAATTCTTCGTGTACTCGGAAGCCTCCCAGATCACGCTGCCAGGCAATGGACAGTACGGTGCCAAGGTGCAAGTGGACGGCCAGGCACCAGAAGGCATGTCATTTGAGTGGAACCCGCAGAACCTCCGCCCCGTGACGGAGTACACCTTCCGCGTGAGCGCGTGGAACGACGCCGGCGAGTCCGACCTCTCTCAAGCGGCTGTCTTCGCCACTGACGTCTACGAGCCGGAGTACCCACTCAACATCGAAGCTGCCGCGCGAAGTGCCTCGTCCATCTCTCTCGGTTGGACACCGGCCGTCAACAATGGCCTCAACATCACAAAGTACGAGATCTGCTACAATGAGCTTCAGAGCACCTCGACTCCTGAATCTGTCTGCGGCAAATCAAACTCGGGATGGGAAGTGGCCTCGGGGACTCAGACCATCGACGTCTACCCTTCCGCGGGGGACCCGCTCAAGGCGTCCACGGAGTATGAAGTCAGTGTGCGAGCCTGCAACGCCTATGCGCAACCGGAGCGGTGCCCAGCAGGTGACTCCAGCGAGGAGTGCAAGAGCGGAGCGGACGGCTGCTCGAACTGGTCGCCTTTCGTGACGCTCACAACCACCTCGAGCGGCGACCTCAAGCCGCCAGCTCCCGTAGTGAGCCTTGTCAACAAAACCAGCGCCGCCGCCTTCTTCAAGTGGCTCGTCCAGCCGAAGGACAGCTTCCCCACCCTGGGCACGACTGCGATCTCAGTCTTCAAGCCCACGCTCACCAACAGCGGGACGGGCGGCGTTGACGTGCTCGACCTCATCACAGGTGCCGCCTTCAGCGAAGGGGAAGAGTACTTGCTCTCCGTCACCGGCCTGAGCAGCGCGACGAACTACTCTTTGACCGTCTCCGCTGGCAACGTCGATGGATTCGGTGAGGAGTCAGACGTAGTCTCCTTCATCACCGAGGCATCGGTGCCGGAGGCGCCCGACGCTCCCGCTTTCGACAGAACGCTGCCAGACGTCAAGCTGAAGCTCTCTGGTGCAGCAGCCGACAACGGCGATCCCATCACCGAGTACCAGTGGCAGGTCAAGACGTCGGGCCAGTGGGGAAACCCGACGGACTGTGGGAGCGGTCCCAACGATAGCAAGTGCAGGGACATCGCCGACGCGTCGTACTCGTACACGTATCAATCGCAGAGCTTCGACTTTCGCGTCCGCGCGTACAATAGCCTCGGCCCCGGCGAGTGGTCCGAGGCGACCACCGTGACTCCCACGGACCTCCGGCCGGCCACGCCGAGCCAGGTTGAGGTCACGGTGCCCAGCTTCGGCTCAATCGATATCAGGTGGTCTGCGGGCTCTGGCCCCAGCGCGCCTGCGGACAAGTACGAACTACGGATCACCGAGGGAGACTGTGCCATCAGCTGCA